TGCTGCATGTTTTATGACTTCTGTAGTTTCACAACCGGTGAAATTACGAGCGGATAACATTTCTTCACTAGCATTTTCAATCTTTTGTTGAAAGACTTTTAAGCAGCCGATTGTATTGGCTGCATTTCCAACTTCAAGTCTATCTTTTCCAGTTAAATGTCGCGCTACTGCCTTTTCATCTGCACTATGGTTTTCGTCTCCTACAGCTCGTATACGAACAACGATACTATCTCTCCCTATTGGTTCATCTCTGATAAAAATTTCAAATGTTCGCTCGCATGAAGGCGACTTACATGTGGCTATACAACGAAAAAAAGAAGAATTTCTTTTACGTGACCTTTCAAGAACAATATGATGTTTTTTAAAAATCAAGGTACAACGAAAATTACATGAGCGCACTTTCTCATAAATCACGTTTGTCCAACCTGGTTCCATGTTACGTGTAGAACTGTTGTAAAGGTCTTTCCATTGTTTTAAAGTTAAGATGAACGATGCTTCAACTATTGTTGGTGCATTCGATTGGTGTTTAACTGTCGAACGAGTCTCTCGATGTGGAAGATACGCATCAGACGCTGTGGACTTACTCTCAGGGTTCGATAATGACAGCTCAACTTTATTTCTTTTATCTGTTTTATTATCTTCTTCAACAGAATCAACACGTTTTTCAGATATCTCATCTTCAATTTTTGGACGATGTCGTCGCCAAACATTATACAAAGATTGACGTATATTTTCTGTTTCATTTAATTTCAGTTTCGATATCAAACGACCCCAAATAGATTCTTTAGAAAGCGTGAAATAATTAAAGCGCCATGTTTCCTTATCAAGTTGCTTTTTATCGGATCCTAATTCCTTAACAGCAGATATAAATTGCTCTCTAGTAATTTGATTCCAGATAGTTTGTTTACCTTCTACCTTCTCTTCGTTTGACTGTTTATCTAATTTATTTTCTAATACTTGCTTTGATGACTGATCATCTGATGAACTATCTTCTATATGTCGTGTTGACTCTGAGTTAGATTTACTTTTTACCGACGAGGTAAACGGAGTCTTTCGTTTCATTTCTCAATATAAATAAACTTATCTACTTATCTGTACTTCCTGTAGAATTGAGAATAATTGAATCGACGTATGGCGTATGTTTCAAGATGAATGATACTCAATTTTCTTTCCTCTTTATATATTCAATATGTATCTATGTTTTTTTTTTTTCTTTCTCATTGGATGTGAAATATCAAGCAATTGCCCACTGCGTCTCATTTAAAAAAAAAAAGTAAAACGTTTTGCATCATACTAGTTTAGGTGCAGACCATTCTGTTTGATAACGCATTGACTGCGCATGTATATACCGATGTTTAATATCAGATTTTAATTAACTGATATTCGTCGTCAAACTCTCGTTAACTGATGGTTCAATCGTGTCCAAAAATATTTATTGTTAAATTGTATTTAACGATATTCGTAGCTAGACAATGTATACAGATATTTATGAGTGGATTATATTTATAAATGATTATAACTACTCAAGTGTCTGAGAAAATCGATGATTTATTCGCATCTCTTGACTTATTGGCAAATAGATTAAATTTTAAGAAACAAAAAAAAAGTTAGAGAGATATATTTTATTTAGACAATGTAATACATTAAATATTTAAAATTTGATTGACATCAAAGGAACAGGAGATGCATTACATTGAAAACGACGAGGACCACTTGAAAATGAGGAAGAGTATACCATCTTTTTCTGTTTTATATAATTACCAATGATTGTTTCCATCATTCTAACACCATAGGCTGTTGGATGGAGACCATCATACATTTCATTAATGTCCGGTTGAATTGTGTCGAAGTTTTTTTCTGAAGCCAGTTGAAGTAGTTCTACGTTGCACTTTGTAATTTCATTTAATACCGCTGAACCCTCTGGTAAAAGCCAAGTTTTTCTTGTTCTTCGTTGAAGTAATTGCCATACAGTATGGCAAGAGGATACCTCCATACTTGCTTTACACCAGGATACAGACGTCTGATCGTGTCAATGGTATAATCGATACGGCGAATACTTTCATAAGCTCCTGCTCGATGAATATCATTTGTGCCAAGTATAAATACCAAATGATTGACATTGAGCATAAAACGTTGACCATCACTTGATAACAACCAAGCTAAAGCATCAGCACAATCACTGCCCGATTTAAATCTAAGACGAACCTCATCGGTTTCACTTTCTATGTTTTTTACTGAAATATTACGAGCCATTGAGGAACCAACTATAGCGGTAATTAATTTATTTTCTCTTTTTTGCTCTTGATTATTTCTTTTAATTTCTTGTACATGTTGTTGATGATTAGGACGCATATGTAACGGAGCATGTTTAAGACGACGTTGTTTTGTCTTTTGGCGTAGTTGGTAGAAAAAGCGTGAGCGATCAATTTTTGACATGATATAAACACTTTTATATGAAAAAGAAACGCTTTATGTTTGTTTCGTGGAAAAGTAGCTCTTATATATTTTTAAACAATGAAAACAATTTGTTTCAAAAATTATCTTCGTTTTTATTTTCAAGATGTTAAAATCTCCCTCGAAGGTACCAGATGACACACACAGATTGAAACAAAAAAAGCTGCTTAATTGAAGTCTATTTGTTCTGCCAACATATTTCTTCCTATGTATGTGTGTGAATCGTTGCTGTTCTCTTTCCAATTAGCGATGCTATCATTCTTTGATTCTTAATTGATATCTATCGTGAAAACATTAGGAGATCAACAGATAATTGTTAAATTGGATAACACATAGTTTTGTCATGCTGTTTGATCGTACCCTGTGTTGATAATCCTTTAAACGTAATATTTTCAGTGTAAAATCAATTTGACACATTCAATAATCTTAATTCGCATGTTTTTTCTCCTTTCAAGAATTGTATATAAACACTTCGATTTCACTTTATTCCATCATTCCATTCACTGGTATTCTTCTCTTTACATTGATTACTCTTAGTATTTGGCACACACATCTATCACACGTTTCTCTTCAAATTGGTAAGTAATATTTTTCGTTTTCTATAGTCAGAAGTTATTGCAGTATATATATATATATAAATAGATAACACAAGCCTCATGTTTTCGATTGCTCGTCGTCAACCACTATTCCATCTCATCACCATACTGTTCAATTTATTCACACATATTCACTCGGTTCCAATTAACAATTTATTGATTGCGCAGCCAAAAGATAGTATCTATAATCAGTTAATTAACGGGCAAAATCTGATCGTTCATGAGGAGAGAGGAATAGTTTTTAGTCGAATCGGGTATTATTATGAAGTAGATGATATTTTCGGATTGACAGTGACTGTTCCAGTCACTCAATATCTATGCTCAATCTTACCTATGGAAGAAGTAGAAAAATTGAGTTTATGTGTAGATTATCAAGCGCAGCTTCGTGGTGAAGTTGAGCAAGAAGAAATTTCTAGCCATTCTTCTATTTACGATTTCTTGAATACGACTAATAACACTCGATTTTCTGCAGAAAAACTGCCGACAAAAACTCATCATCATCGTAGTAAACGTTTAATACCACTGATTGTCGGCGTTATTGCTGGTGCTCTCGGTATTCTTTTCATGGGAGGTATAACCATTTATAACACGATAAAAGGCGCGCAGTTGAGCAATCGAATATCAGAAATTCAAAGATCTGTTTCCGACACCAACAAACAGTTGCATAGTTTAGAAGTCTCCGTAATGACTAATACAAATAGTACCATTCAGCTAGCACGCTCGTTTAGTAAGGCTCAAGAAAATATGGAGACCATGAGAACTAACATGGAAACCATTGTTCAGCATGTTTTCCAGCTAGATTCTTTTGCTGAGGCGCAGACGCGCTATAATTTGAAAACTCATGCAGAGCATGTGTATGAGAGAATGAAGAATTCTATACGTCGTATCGAGCGCAACGATCTCAACTTAGATTTCGTCGGAATGACCGAACAGAATGAAATTTTTGAAATTGCCTATGAACGTCTTAGGTATTCAGTGCCTAGCTCTAAAGAGTCAAAAGCCAGATTTGTATCGCGCATGCTCTTTGCGCAGACTGTTCAGTTTTTTCCATCAGAAAATGGTACTCATACAAATGATACTACAGGCTACTATCCACAGCATTTAGGCAATATTGTCTTCACATCTTACTTTTCAGTTCTCAAAACTAATGTGTATGATAAAATTCAGGTTTATAAGCTTACCGCCTTGCCATTCTTCATCGTTGAGAAGGAAAAAGGAAAGGAGCTTTCTGGATTGCCAAAAATGATAGGCGTGTCCAACGGTGGATATATTGAATGGCGGGAGATTGCAGAACAACAAGTATGCGATTTTGGAGATTACGCGGTTTGCCGAGATCCACCCATCGTTCAGAAACGTATTAATAATATGTGTTTAGAACAGCTCATTTCAACCAACCGTTCATTTCATTGCTCCGTTCAGGATTCTGTGTATAGCTCGCCACATTTTGAGAAAATAACTTCTGATATAATGGCATTGTCGACAAGAACACCGATAAACTGCGCCATAACTGGAGGTTTTCATATTTTGAAAAACTTGAGTATAATTCGCTTAGGTTGTAATGACACTTTTTATTGCGAGGGTAACATCAATTTTATTGGAGATAAGCGTTGTCAAATGATAAAACCGTATATCGTAAAAACTATAAATGATGATGTTGTTCCAGTAGTCGAATCAATTCGTCCATTGAATATTGGTCTTGCAAAAGTATACCCATTTGCATCTGACAAAAATCTCATTCTTACCTTAGAAGAGCAAATGAGAATCCAAGAGAAAAATATAAAAGAAACAGAAAAAACTAGTGATAGTCTATCGAAAAAAGGACTAATAAGTGCAACAAGACCTGTGGTTCTTTTTCTTTCTGTTGCACTGAGTGTTGTTTTAATAGTTGTCGTTCTTCTTGTTCTTTACCTAATTTATCGCTGCCGCCACAATTCACCAACTCAACAATCGTCGATCGTCAACATTGGTACGAGCATGAACCAGCCGACAACCTCAATCTTACCAACGTCACAAGACAATTTGGGCAGTCTCCAAGATTTGTTACAAGCATTCGCGATCAATAAACTTGCCAAAATCTAAACTTCCTTTCATTTTTTATGTAAAACAGATGTTTAATTTCTTCACCTTTTATTATACAAGAAGTTGTACAATTTTATAAATAAATATATTTTAACTGGCCACTATTTCCAACAAATTTACAAAACTTGTTTTTACAACCTCAAAAAAAAAAATCTGAGCAAATTAGTTACAAACTTTCAAGTCCCATAGTAGTCTAATATATAGTTGCAACCAGTACCAAAATATCAGTATTTTGCGATTTCTGAAGACATGCTTTGAGTTATAGAGAATCTGATCGCACCATTGGATAGAGCTCGTCGAGCTCTACTTGAAACCGGGCTGGAACAGTTTGGACATGTTCCTAAATGAATATGAATAGATTTTAGTAAACATGTAGCAGCATTCACATAGTGTAAAATGGGTATTTTGGGTTTATCTTCCATATGGTTTGGACTATAGCAAGTCCAGGAATACCAATCGATAGAGCTCGTCGAGTTCTACTTGAAACCGGGCTGGAACAGTTCGGACATGTTCCTAAACGAATATGGGAAGGTTTTACTCGAATATGGTGCTAACTTCACCTACGTCAAGTCGTATCTGTCTCAAATGGATAACCTTTCTTTTTTGAGAAAAAAACTTTCTGAACTTTACGAAATATTCGAGCGGGAATCGAATCTGCGCCACAAAAAAACGTATATTTTCGTATCGTCTCTTTGGTTCACGTAATCGTAAGTCTACACTCATCATCTGTTGTTCTATCTTCTATAGATGACAGAAAAAGGAACGAAATATTTCTTTCCTCATAATCCACTCCTTTTCACAGTGGGCAGTCACATGGAAATTAGGTGTCAAAACGAAAGTGAGTTTTTCGAAAATTCAAATACTATCTAACATACATTAACCAATCCCCAATTGATTGGTGAAAAAATTTTGATCCAAGTGTTGAATACGATTGAGAAAAGTAAGTCGGAATTTTCGGCAAGTTTTGTCAGGCTTTTCAAAAAGCCGTTGTTTTGGCCAGCTAAAACAAATTCCAGGAAACTGAAACACATATATGCTGAAAGCCCAGCTTGCCAGCTATCGATTCAAATGTTAAATTTGTTATATTAAAGAATTTCATAAGGAGAAAAATGGGGGTTTCCGTAGACTAGGCGTTTTCCCACAACACGTGCGTAGTATAGTGGGTGCGCCATCTAGCGCCAAGCTCCGTTCGAGCTGAAACGTTCAGGCAATATTCTTCTTTATGTGGTGCGTCTATATAATTAGCAGAAAGTTGCAGAAATGTTTCTTTGCGGAGTTAGAGATTTTAGAAAAGCCGCACGTTTTAAGAGGTTTTTCGCTGGGTTTATTGCTTAAAAGTCACTTTTCCCCAGAAATAAGGACAGATTCGGTATCCGCGTGAAAAGCTGCATCGAATGATATACAATTTAAAACATTTTTCTGCAGAAAAGTTTTCAGTCACACCGAATCGTAGCGTAGGGGCACTACCGCAGAAAATTTTCACTCTGCATGTGGACATATGCTGCAGAAGTGGTAGTTAATCTATAAACACTTTTTCTAGGTTTTCGAATATGCTCTTTCCAATGGTGAGGCTTTCGAAATCCTAAAATAATTTTTTGTGGGTTTTCTGTAGGCTGGATCTCTAAAAAAACTGAGAAAAAATATTTTAGGATTTCGAAAATCTGACCATTAGAAAGAGCATATTCGAAAACCTGTAAAAAGTGTGATTATAGAACTATGTACCACTTCTACAGCATATGTCCACATGCCTAGTCAACACTGCTTTCTCCATCTTTTAGGCTTGATGGTCTTCTGTGAGTCAGAATAGAGAACTCTATTGTGCAAATATCGAGTGCAACTGGAGTGCACCGAATCAGCAAAGTTGTTTATTCACCACACACAACTGATAAATTAATTAATTAATTGAAGTAGAAATAAATCCTAGTTATGAGATAATAGCTTAAGGAGACAAAATGCATTATTATCACTAAAGGGGAAAGCTGGTGTGTAAATATAAATCAATGATCCGATCATTGGTTTATACTTACACGCCAGCTTTCCAGTTCGGATAGAACATATCAGTTCCAAGGTAGTTGCATTATGAAACATTATATCTGTTCAGGGACAGAAGTTTTAGAATTGGTAAGATAGTAGCAGCAGCTGTTTTTATATTCATCTTTATTTAATAAAAATTAAAATTAAAAGAATTTTTTTTAAAATAAATCTTTTTATAAAATAAAGTCGACGTTTCGATAATTGTAATTTTCATTATCAAGACAATCGAGACGATTAACACGCTCAACTTTATATCTTGTTAATCGTCTCGATTGTCTTGATAATGAAAATTAAAATTTTCGAAACGTCGACTTTATTTACATATCAGTTACAAGGTAGATCTCTGTCAATCTCTCTCTCTCTCTCAGTAGTTGTATTACCTTGTGAGTGATATGTTCTGTCTGAACTCAAACTTCATTTTATTTATCCAACATATTGTAGTTCGTGTTTATTGACAGGATCTCGAGATCTACTTTCCATCTTCATTCTTTAACTAGAAGAATAACTCTAGAGATCGATTCTTATTTAAGAATGTTATCAGAAACTTATAAGTTTCTTATCAATTTCTTATAACATTCTGAAAAACATTTAAAACAAATATGGCACAACAGGATTTAAAATTAACAAGGCATGAAAATCTCTTAACAAAAGATCTATCAGCAATTTCCAAGGAAATTACAATAATTGTAGCCTCAGTGAATGTAGATAGGTCTAGACGACCAGTACATTCTGGTCTTAAAACGCATTTTGAAAATTCATGTGCACAAATGAAATTGGTTATGGATGATATAATTTAACGCATCTGTCCCCGTTTGGCATCTCATTTTTTCCCTGTGCCTCCTAAAGGCTTATAAACGCGCGAGAAGTTTTTTTTTGTAACAAAAGCGCGTTTATCTGACTTCGATTATTCTCTTTTGCAAGATGTACTTTTCTAACGGGAAAGTAGTCATGTACTATCTGTGTGTTTTTCAAAATGGGAAAAATTCAGTGTAGAAACGGCCACAGCTATACATTCTTATCATATTGTATCTGTCAATGTTAGAGGCCTTGATTTACGGTGCCAAGAAGTTCTACTTTTAATTTGGATGTGTTAATTCTTATCGAAACGGGCGTGATAAATTTCTCCTTTGGCAGACAGGCCTTTTCTAAACATACAAGGTGAGAATAGTAACCATATAAGGACGGGGTACCCTTTAACCCGCTAAGAGATATTGAAAGCGACTGTTATCATTATGCTTAGAATTGCTTCAAACCCCAGGACATTGAAGGGTTTCTCGACTTTTACAATTTTTTTCAATCATCACGCACCTACTATAAAAGCGCTCGTTTCCACGTATCATTAGGTCGCAAGCCAGTGAAAAAGTGTTCAGAAAGTGAATTTAATGGCATTAGTGGACATGACAAAAAGTCACTGAAGAAAGGTGTTACCTAGTTTAATAAGCTGGAATAATCTTTCTAAGTATAACTGCCGGACACTTTTCTTTGAAATGCAGTCGTTTATCAGATATGAAACATACACACGTATGCACTATGTTCACAGTATGCATTCTTCGAGGTGATCTCCGTGGCTACTGTAAGACATATGGAAGGCAAGCGCGGGAGCATCTTTTGATTTCCTTTTTTCAACTTATTTGAATTTTGTGTTCCAT